GATTGTTTGGATTTGTTTGCAAAGAAAAACAGGATGGCATGGGGGAAATTATGACACTTTGCACCGAGGACTTTATTAGCCACAGGACTGCATCATTAAAGTATGATTCTTAACCCCCAAATTATCCGAGTGATTAGCATCGTCAGGAGATAATTACAAATTAATTGTTAACAAGTACTTTTGTTAGGATCTGTATAAATAACTAATGCAGGGTCATATTCTTCTAGGGAGATTACTTCATGTCTCTTTTTTGGAATTGCAGAAATTCAAATATTTTATGATAGTGAATAAAGCAGTACGTTTATCTGCATCGATAACTTTTCCTGCACACTTTAGGTTGATATAAAAAAATGAGGAGGGGCTTAGTGTTTGAAAGGACGACAGATAGCAACAAGAAATTGATACTACTTTTTAAGGAAGGAAATCCTTTCACTTTAATAAACAAATCCCCCTCCCCAACGTTGTATTAAACAGGCTTATCTTTAAAGGGTGATATAATAAACATTTGCCCAATTAATACATTTTTTTTCACTTATTGGCATTTCCAATGGCTTGAATGGACCTAGAAAGTAAAAGCAAAATTCTTAAACCTTAGAATTATTCTTTAAAATACCTGCCATTCAAAAGCAGTATATGAATGGCTAATAATAATTCCTGGGCTTGTATTTCTTGCCAGGAGTTTTTGAACACATTGAAGCCTAGCATTTGCAAGATTTCAATAAATTTAGAGCTGTCATTGAATTTAGGCAAGTGTTTTTTTATGTTTCATTTCTTGAAACGGCCAGGGGTACAAAGAGGCAGTAGTTAAGCCCGGAGCACAGTTTTATAGGATTGGAATTGTTTTTGTAATGTGTCTTTAAGAGTAGGTTTTTATTTTATGCTTGCGGGAGTCTTACCCTGCACTGTTTGGGGTTTGTGGATACGCACCCATGAGCAGTTATGCTTTTACTTGATCAAATATTTGATATTTGACTTTCCTGATGCTTGAATTCTCCCAAGGCCCAGGGTGTTTGGTAAGAGAGCCATGGATTTGCAGTCTTTGAGAATTCTCTCCTCATTGAGCCACTGTCCAGTGCTAGAGAGCCACATGAAAGTCAACTGCTGCTGTGTGTACTTCACAGATGTGAGAAATGATTTTCTGCACAGCAGATTTCCAGCTGATTACAAGCATTTATTTTATAAGAATTTATTGGAAAGAAGAAGAACATCTGTAGCAAGAATAAAGTCAGACATTCTTTGGTATCATCAGATTAAAGAAGTATTTTATACAATATTTTAAATAGATGCTAATTTTGAAAACAATCCTTTGAAACTATAGGTAGAAGCAATGAGGTTTAAATATTTGTTTTTATTTTGCTGAGGACTCCATTTTTGTCATTTTCCTTAAACAAGAGGCACACAAGGTGGTGCATTGCGTTAGAATAATCAGCAGTAGTATTTAAGCTTTCATTTTATGGCATCTTTGCTAAAGAAGGAAATAGACAGTTACCATTTCTAACAGCATCTGCCACTCCCTAGAAATTCATTTCAACTTTAGGTTCAGGTTTTTATCTTAGACGTGTAAGCTATTTTTTGTTTTTGTTTCGTTTGTTTTTTACAACACTGACACCATGGTTGAAAATATTGATTGAGGAGAAATTTTAGCAAGAATGTATTCTGCTTAAAAAGCAGATTTATGGCCAAGGCACCTTGTTTTCTATAAAATGCATTCTGATTAGAAAATTGCCGTTGTCTTTGGAATTGGGGAGTGCTCAGGTTGATCTGTGGTTGGACAAAACCAGCTTGCCTGCCAGCTCTATTTATTTAGATAAGTTCAGTACTTTCACTTTGAAATTTCTTTTCAGTTTGAAAAGAAAAAAAAAGTTTTAAATTATAGTCATTTTATAAAAATTGCTTCTAGCAAGCAAAAAAAAGCCTATGGAAAACCCATAATTTAGACAAGTGCCTACATTTTATTTGCTCTGTGCTGCTGGGGCTTAGAATCCCTTTCCATTTACAGTTTACTTTTCACAGAACATTATTAACTTTTTGGCTTCATACATGATCTTCTGTCAGATGCTTTTGATTTGTAATTTAGCAAAGTATAATAAACAGTGCAAAAGTCATGAATTTTGCTCTGCATCCTGAGCTCTGTGGTAGGGAAAATGTGATAAAATGTGTACCTTAAGTCTTGTTTGATGATCTCTCAAAGCAAGTTTGCCTTCTGGAAATAATTTCTGGGGTTGAAGAGCATGGTATTAACAGATTTAATGTGGCTATTCAATGGATTGGCGAAGTACTATGTGAGGTTTAACAAAATGAGAGAGACAAATTGAACATCAGCAAAAGTTACATCTGTGAAGAATTAGAAATTTAATTAGAAAAAAGGCAAACTTGAAAGACCTCATTAACTAATCAGAAGGCAAAGTTACTTGTTGAGGATTCTTGAATTTAAATTCTAAGAAGTTCTGTTATCTGTTTTCTTTTTGTATTTGCAACTTTGGGTGTTCTATACGGAGTACTAAAAAGCATTAAAGTGAAATGACTTCATTGTAATATAAGAGGACTATTTATAGCATTATGGGAAATATTTTTGCACTCACAGAAGTATTTGAATTCAAACTACCAGGTTAGGAGAAGACAAGAAACATAGTGAGTTAATCAGAAAATATGCGTCTACCGAATATCTTACAGCACTTTTTCGGAAATCATGATATACTTGTTCCCTTTTTTTGAATGAGAATATCCCTGATTAATTATTTTTCAAGCACTTCTTGGTTTTAGTCTTTTAAAACACAGAAACTTCTAGAGATATTGTCAAATATGAGAGCAAATGAACACCAGGCAGAAGTAGGTGTTCTTTTTAGATAAGGGTTTGTGAGTGTGTTTCCTTACTGCACTGTAACCTTGTACTACACATAAAAAACTAAAAGCATGTGAAGTGTAGCATTTTGTAAACTGTAACTAATTTTGCCCACATCTGTGTCTAATTGTTGTCTGCATTCGCATTCTTGAGAGTAGATTTATTTTTCCTGGACCACGATGTGGATTCAGCTGACCAGCCTAAGTGAGGATTAGTTGTTTTAAAGTTATTTTGATTAAAGAGTCATTTTTAAATACAGTAACACACAACACATGGTTTAAATAATCCTTGAGACACAAAAGAATATATCTGAAGTATACTTAATGAAATGAAGATCATGGGTACGGACTTCCAAAAACTGTAGCGGATGAAAGTACAGTAGAGACCGCGTTAAGCCAGCATAAAAGAAATATGGTGTTGTGGGAATATGTATTTTAATGATAAAAAGTGTTAGAAAAATTAACAACAGTTTGACATTTAAATTTAAATACGATAGAGTTAAGCCTCAAATATGAAGATAACCAAACCTTCAAAGTATACAGTGAAACTAAAATTCCATTTCCAAGATTTTGCTTTCTAGCTAAGGTTAAAATGGAAATATATTTTACCATATCACAGAAAGTATGCTGTAAGTATTCTTTCACATAATTAAGCCAAGAAGTTCTTAAAACTAAGCTAGTTCTCACCTATAATTTATTCCAGGTGTATAAGGGGGGGGAGGAAAAATGAGAATTTATCCTTAAGGTATAGTGCTGAAGTTTTTAAAAGGAAACCAGTTAATGTTATGTGAGAACATTAATTTTACCAAAAACTGCAGAAACCTGTTCTCACAAAATGATATATCTGCATATATTAGCATGAATTTTCATTTAATACTCAGACACCTTTTAAAAAATCTTCGTCTTGCACGTACTATAGAAACGGATACTAGAAATTTCACATGACACTAGACTGACACAGTGAGACTTTGGTGACGCTTTCTTAATTTCAGAAATCATAATTAAAAAATAACAGGACTCAACAGAAAATGTTGGGTTGGATAACTTTAATGCTATTTGGGACGCTTCAATGCTCATCTTTGTTCTGCAGTCTTAATCGATGTCAGTTCAGGGTGGATGAAAATGCACATCAAACATTTGGATTTCTGGGCCATTTCGAACATCATGCAGAACACTCTTGCCTGCCTGCAAGGCGTTAGCCTGGGCTTGCAAGCCAGCCACTTAGCTCACCTGAGCCGATCACCTGCTGGCTCCTAGGTAGGCTGCCTCTGGAAGAAGGGCAGTGACTTAGCGAAGCCTGCAGGTTAGTTAGTGAAGTGGCTCAGTGGAGTCTCCAAATGCAGCCCCATTGAGAAAGGAGACTAAACTGCTGGCTAACCGGGACGTTGTACTGGTGATTCACTGATCCATTCTCTTTCCTCCTTTAAAACAATGAAAAATCTACAAACAAGCTAGCTCCGTTTCCTGTTCTACCGGGTAGAGCTCAATCAGCACTCGCGTTGGGTGAACGCGCACCTTGCCCAGTTGTGTGACTTTGGGTCTGAACACTTGGCGTTGCCGCGTGGCTTTCGTCTTGCTCTGCCTGAAAGTTGCCCAGAAGCTGTGTGAGTGAATGTTCAATGGCAAAGAGTAAATGTAGGAGAAAATCATCCCGATAAGGAGAAGAAACTGTCAGGAGTCAAAGGGGTGGGCGGGAACTAGGTTTCAGCTGGTGATAGCAGAGGATGAAAGATCTTCCCGAGGATGCTGGCGGATTATTGCTGGAAGCACCGCCGTTAAACACACTCATTTTGTTAATAGCTATTTTTTTTTTCCCAAGCACCTTTTCCAAGCTGCCCGGCAAGGCTGCTTTGCATGTTGGTTGGGGGAGGGGTAATCCCGTTTGCAGCTGTCATAGGCCAGTGATGAATCACTATCCCGTCATTTGGCTGCCTTCCCCCCCTCCCCAACAAGGGGAGGAGGAGGATAGACCTGCAGGAGGAAACAACAGTTGAGACCTCAACTTAAAGACAATATGCCTTTCACTGCTGCACTATCCTCCTTTTTCTCTTTTGGTTGAAAGAGAGCATTGTGGATCTCAGCCATGTGCTCTGTGTAATTAAGAGCTAACCCTGAAGCAGAGTTAACAACAGCTTCTAATTTTTTACCCCTGACCACAGGTGCAAACATCTCAAACCAGTTCCGATGTTGCTGTTTCCTCAAGTTGCAGGTAAGGATATTGTTGATATTTGACATTTTTGGAGATTACCTTTCTGTGACCCGGGTCTATTTTTGTCTAGTATTTCTTAATTATTTCTATTAATAGCAACAGCCTCCGTTGGAAATTACTTAACCATTTTTGTGTGTGTGCTTGTTAAAAAATGTTAAGTATGTAGGGAGTAGGAGCCTTGTTTGGAAATGGTTAAGGGTAGTAGTTTCTGATGTTGGGCAAACTGTGTGTAATGAGCATTAAGAGAGAAAAAGTGGATTTTAAACCATTTCTGGTTTGAATTTCTGATTTGTCTTGGGGAAGCAAAAAGTAACTTTAGAAATAAAGTGGCTCATGTTAACCTGTTTTAAAACTGATATCCAGTCCACTTAAGAGCAACCTCTACATTAAAATTACCATAGCTTTAAAATGACTATAGCTGTTATTGGTCAGGTTGAGGTGAGGAATAAATAGTATTAGCTTCATATATGTAACATTAACCCTCCCCTCCGCCACTTTTTTCTTCTTTTTCTTTTTCACCCTCCTTTTTTTTTTAAGAAAAACACATCAACTTGGCTGTCAGAACAGTATCTAGGTGTGTTTTCAATGACTTTAAATAAATCCTCTCCTCTCTTCATTAATAGCCTTAGATATAATATGAATAGTTCTGAAATTGTGAATGAGTCGTGGCTTTTGTGTTTTTTCCACAGAATAAGTAACTGATCAGTCCAAGACCTTTCAGGGGGAACTCCACTTTTGTTGTTTTGTTTTAATGTGGTAAAAATGTAGAATTGCAGCCTTGGAGCAGACTTGTTCTAGCTTCCCTAAGTGACAGCTGAGGTATTCCAACTGCTAATGGCCCTGGGACTCACTGTATGTCGGCCTTATCCCTTTTCAATTGGGCACGCTGTATGTAATCCACAAAGCAAACAAGTGAGCCGACATCATAATGTTTTAATGCTGCATTTGTTTCAAGGGGAACAGAGGAACAATTAAGTAGTTTGCCAGAGTAAACACATGCATCAGGACTGTCTCATTCCCTGTCACTAGACTGTAGGTTTCAAGTGCTTTATTTGGTTTGGAGACCCATTAAATTACAATTGGGTGGTAAATTATAAGGGAGTACCTAGTGCTAATTTATTAGATGAAACAGATTCTATAGACAAGTGATTTATTTCTATTATACCGATTTACATATTTTCTTTTAAAAAATAATGTCTTTGGGTTTTTTAATATTAAAAGAAAACCATAACTGCATTTCTTCCCTAAAAATTAAAATAAATGCCATCATCTCACATTAGACCTATGACTTGTAAGACAGCAAAAAGAGATTTTAAGAATTCCCTGTGAATGTTTGGCTGCATAGGTAGGGCAAGTGCCATCTTTTAATAGACCACATGTCATAAAGGAGGACTGCAGTCACAATGCAGGATGAGCTATTTTGAGTCTAAGAAAATAGATACAATGGGACTTTTGGGCGAATGTGTTTGGAAGAAGGTGTCAAGTCGTTAGCACATTAAATAGTGGTGTTATGAATTTGGTACATCTGTCAAACGGAAGGCTTCTTGTCTTTAGGTCTATGGAAATGCAGGATCTAACCAGCCCGCATAGCCGTCTGAGTGGTAGTAGTGAATCCCCCAAACTCGATAACTCTCATATAAATAGTAATTCCATGACTCCCAATGGCACCGAAGGTGAGTGTCTGCCTTCTCACTGTCTGCTGTGCACCTGTTTCTTCTTCATTATGTGCTTTGTTATTAGGTGGTTATGATTTCTCTTGTTACAGCCATTGAACTACTGTTCTTTTTCCCCTTTAGAAATTTTGACTGATGAATGAGTATTCGTTATTGGTTAGGAGCTACACGTCCCTAGGCTTTTGTAATATTGTGCAGACAGGTTTTATTTTACATATATATGTATGTGTATGTATATACATATGAATTACATTTTTAAACATTGGATGTATTTTATCTTTTTGTTGATCATATCTAAGGCACAATATCAATTTGCATGGTTTCACTGTATGAGCAATGAACACTCAGTCCATTTCCTTTATTTTACTTTCCTTTTTATTACTAAATATAATCAAATTTGTTTAAATTTAAACATTGGATTGGACTTTTTTATGTTAATAAAATAATTGGTGTGCCTAGTGTCTTGTTGCCTTGGGCATTAAAATATAAATAAGTAAAAAAATTGTACGAAATATGCAGCCTTATTTAGAGGACATACATGAAATTTATTTACTTTTTAAAAGATCAAATAGTGTGCTTTAAACAATACTGTCAGTTATTCTTTATAATTAATACATATGAATGCTTATGTAGATGTTACATAAATAAAAATGCCTACTTTAAAAATCCATGTATACCCAAGTCTAAAATACGAGATTATATGTATGTATTGCTACCTGTTATACATACTTAGATATTATGCATATTTGAAAAACTTGACTATAAGAGAGGTATTCTGCGTATTGCATAATGTTTATTTCTACTTTAGCCTATTGCAAATTTACTTTTTCACAGATGACATTTTTGCTTGTTTTTGCCTTACTAAGCCTCAGGCTGTTGAACTCTGAGCATAAGTCTCACTAGAAGTTCAATGAATTATCCATGTTAGAATTCCATCTGCAAACAAATGCTTGACCATCATTTCCCGCCCCACTCCCAGTAATCTTTTGTTACACAGATTTTAAAATAAAAGTAAATACTATAAAATTACTTTTTTCGGTGCAGTGTTCCAATATATATCAGGAAGACTTTTGAATCTTCTAATATTTTGAAATTTATTATAATAGGTAAAACATTAAATCATTTTTGATATGAGACATCTTAACTTTTATACCAACAATGATTGTTTTTACATGTACTTACTGTATATTTTTCTTTTAGAGTCAATACATTTCTGATGTTTATGGAAAATGGTCACTGTCAATAGTAGAGACTCTGCTTACCTAGCAAAAAAATCACTGAATAGGTGTCTGTTCATCTGAAACTTCTCCCCTTTTCAATAGGTACTCAAAGGCAAATATGAATTACTTATAGAAAGCCAATGCTAATATGTACGTAGATTTTATGGAGCAAAGAAAGTAAAAGCAAGCAGGCTCCTTTCTTTGCCTTTTGGTATCTGTCTTCAGGTGAAAGTGTGCCTGCTGCAGAGTGTAGTCGGGGTGCGGATAGTCACTCAGGCTCCTGCCAGCCCCTGCCCGTGGGCCCCATGGAAGTGCCAGCCTGCAGGGCAGCCACGCAGGGGCCATAGTTGCTCGCCATTAACAGTCATTTCCATCACTGTAAAGTCCAGATGAGACAACCATGGAAAACAAACATAGGAAGACTAAGTACCTGACATGGTTTTGCTTAATAGAATATACCAAGACATATTAAGAAAGTAGTTATGAACTACTGATAATTGTCTTTTAAAATAAGAAGTAACTGAATAGGGGTAAGAAGATTTTAACTTCTCAACATATCATTGTTAAGTTGTCTCCTATAAAACAAGAACGAGAGTTAAATCAGCATGTGTGTTTGGGGCCTGCTCCCTTGGATGGCCTTGTCTGAGCGATGTCTGACTTGTTTTATAAGTGTATGTGGAATGATAATATATTTCAGTGTATTTATATTTCATAGTTTGATAAGACACTTGTATTCAGAAATACTGCATTTTGTAAGATTTTTGCATAACTAAAATAGTTTGAAATAATAAAACCTAGATAATTGTGTATTCCTCTGAGCCATTCAGTATGGGAAAAAGCTAGACAATAGTCCTTTCCTAAGAAAACTTAATTCATGTCTTGGAAATACATTTCGGTCTGATTTCAGACAGGTCTGACCAGGTGACTTACTCATCTCTCTTCTCAGGCGTTTTTCTTGATGTACTTGGAGAGGGTGGCAGTAGTGAGTGAAGTCAGAAGCTAGCAGTATAAATGATCTGAAGAATAAAAGAAATTTTTGTCACTGTACTGGGTTATTCAATTTTATTTTGGTATACAGTTTGAAAATATGAACTCAAAACTTTCTTCATGATTCATATTACATGCCTACTTAGATCCAAACAATATCAGAATTCTAAGTTGTTATTAAGTTTGTGAATCAATTTATCATGCTCCTTACATACTCTATAGCCTACTTGTTTCATTCCTCTCGGTCCCCACTATAGGAGTTAAAGTTAATGAATTCATTTAATGTCCTGCAAACTTCCTTGGGATAGTATCATTATAGATTTGCCTATTTCTTCTTTGAAATCTTGTTTAGTTTGAAAACCAGTAGTGTTTAAAGGAATGAAAGACAAGAAAATTCATTGCATCCCAAGTCTTTAGAATGTCAATCACTTCCCCTAACACTACAACACATATTTCCAGCCATATAGGCTATGATTTGTCTAAGTTTATTTAAGTGGCTTTTCTGCTGCCCTATTGAAACTAGCTCCAGCCCAACTGAAATTAATTAAAAGTTTCCATTTAGTGCAGTCAGTTGTTGGCTTTGCCTGCATTTGTAGAGGTGCCTTCTCACTCAGAGCCATGTTTATTTCCTGCCACCACTTGTCCCTATAATGAAGCTATGAAAACAAGAAAATCTCCAGCATCAAAAGCTATAACTTCATCTGAAGAACAAACAAGAAGGGAATGGAATGGAGAGGCAGAGAATATTAAGTTTCTTCTTAACTCTGCTGCCAAATTATCATAAGACCCAGTGTTCGTAGACTGTATTCTCAGACTAGTGCCTGTTTTCATGGTTCATCTAAGGGATAAAGCCAGAAAGACACTGAGCTTCAGCTTCCAATACTGTACTTTTTATTTCCTACATAAAATGTCCTTCAGTTGTAATTGTTGCTTGAAAGTTTCATATTTCAAAATTTTCAACTGTTCGTATTTTTATAATCTATTCTAGCTGGTCTGTGCATCGTTATTGTTGTAGTTATTGGTGTAATTCAGTTTATGTCTTTGAAATATGAATGGACAAAAGCATAAAATGGCAGCATAAATGAATGTTTGACTTACGTGGAGAGACGCATTGTTAGAAGTGATAGATTTGAAAATGAATTAAGGAATACTTTAGTTACTATGGAACAATTAAAGCTTGAGCCAGAGAAGACTAATAGCTGGTTATGAAAACGACAATTGGGGTCTTTCTTTTAACTGCTTTCTCCAGTGATTTTTGACAATTAGTCTTCCAGGACAGGATGGAATAGAAATTTCTTTTCAGATATTTCTTAGATAACTTCTGTAACCCTTGAAGCATGATTCTTAGGAAATATTCTTTTCAGTAGCAATGCTTCTATTAAATGAATATTAAGGCATCAAACCAAGTGGGTTTCTCATGAAGGGCACATGTTCAGGCCTCTGTTATGCAAGCATTGTGTAGATGGTTGTGTTCAGTGTGAAAAGTCCTTAGGAAATGTTCTTTGGAAGGAGCCAGGGCTGTAGCAGTAAAAGGATTTTTATTTACATACCTAATTAAGGCCTTGTTTGCAAAGCAGGGATTCGTTCCATCTTTGTTTTCTCTGGTTGTCTTAAGTCCTTGGGAACCTAAGATTGGTCAGTTCATATATTGCTTGTTAGAATGTTTATTTTTGGTTGTCTCAGGGTAAAGAATGGGGAAGGGCAAAAAGAGAGGTGTGCATAAGCAAAACGGAGAGCTCTAGGTTTTCTTTATCGTAACTTTAGATTCAAATTCAAGAGTAAGTTTCACCTTGTCTTAAAACAGATAAATTTGCCTTTAAGTGGCATCAAATCAGATGCAGTTGGAATCTTCACTTCAAGTAAGGTTTCAGTAATTCTGATGGCAATTCAAATACTAATTTTGAATTGGCATATCGGATTTCCAAGAAGAAAACAGATAGGATCTTGAATTAGGTGGCTAAATTTTCTGCAGTTAAAATTTATTTAATTTTGTGTTGCATATTTTCAGATGATAGGTTAATTTAATTGTTCAAATTTATGTTATCAGAATGTATTTAAGCTGTCCTGTCATTTCTACAAAACTTAGAACACTAGCAAATTATCTGAATTTGTTTTTTCTCACTGTAATTTTAATTTAGTAAAATCGAGTTCTATCCAACTAGAGAATCTTTAAGAAATCTTATTTACAGAAAATATATAAACTGAAGTAAATGTATCTAAAATTATGGTTTGAGGCTGCATTTTACAGGCTATATTTATATATTTGTGGTCATGGTAATCTAATTTTATTATTGTTTACATTCTGCACATGATTTTGTTTCTGAAACGTTAAGGGACATTGTGAATAAAGAAGTTTCTAAATGCCAGTTTTAGAGTTTGTCCATAGCCACAGAATAGGCTTCTTATAAATTGTTCTCAAATAGAAGCCAGGAAAGAAAGGAACAAGATAATTTGTCAGGATTTAATATTTGTATATGTTGCGTGTTTGGGGATAATTTTCACATGCTGCTGCTGATAATAATAACAACAATGGCTGGTGTTTGTAAATAACTTATTGTTGGTCATCTTGCTCAACATTCTGTTTCCTTAATCTTCAGAAAATTCCTTGAGATGGCCAACATAATGACTAAGAAACTGGGTTTGAACCCCAGCTCCACTCTTCTTTAACTGTGAGCTCTGACAAGCGAGTTGCTGTGTGGTTCGATTTCCTCAGCTGTGAAATGGTGGTGATAGCAGGACTTAGAGCAGGCTTGCTGTGACAGTGTAAAGAAAAATCATTGCCTTCTGGGAACT